GTCTTATGGTTTATTTGTTGATAACCCATCTATGTCATATGCTAATTCAGCGATTAGGTATGCCGGTATATCCGCCTGCTTTTCTCGAAAGCTATTAGTTGTTGTTTTCATTTCAAGTGATTGATTGTCCAAAACTCAATGTTGGCGAACATATGTTTTCGATAATTTTTCATCAGGCTAGTACAATTATATATCATGTATAGCAATTAGACAGACTACTAAGTCATTAAAACGGGGTAAAATCAGTTTGCAAGTGGTCAACTATCGCAAATAATCAGACCAATGTCAGAGTCTTCACACGATTTTACTGAGTAGAATTCACTACTTGACCCTGCCAGGACAGTTGTGAGGCTTGAACCAATCGCTATTGAGTGCACAACTTTGGTTCATACAACCGGATTGCTACAGCTTCAGCGGCTTCTAGTATCGGTCTGTGGATATACTTCGATCGATTTTCCGGAGCCTTGTAGATAATTTGGAATGCTTCGGCTAGACTAGAGTTGTGGTCTGTGTCGGCAAGGTGGGCAGCTATGTCAGAGTTACATACCGTTCTGCATCCGGTCGCTAGCCATGCATTAATCGATTTATTTGTTTGTTATCTTTCTCACAAATGACTGACTGTTGTTTGATAACCCCGGTGTGGCTGCGCTCGCTGTGCATGTTGACAAGGTGCCTACCTGTTCTATTACCCACTATCTCGTTCATACTCGCTCCAGGAGACAGTTGCTCGTTGTTGGGGGAAACGGGATGCACGTTCCTTGTGGCCGTGCTAGGCTCCAAGAGTGGTTCCATCCTGTGTGGGATGGGCTACGTTTCAGCCACCGCCATGTGTGCGTCTGGTGTGCATGATTTCCCAATTAGGCAGGAATGCTTCCGTTCTGCTTGTTGAAGGAGTGTGGGCCGGTTCCGTTGATGAATCGTGGCTGTCATTCACATGCCTCCCAGTCTTATTCCTTCAGGTTTACACTGGATATGGGTGTGTGGTACAGCGCAAACCATCCATAGCCCCTCTGTAGGCGCAGACATCCTGTGGCTGGCCACAGTGACTGACAAATCCGAAACCGGATGCCGCCAACCATGTCTCCTATCTTCATTCACTGAATCCGCCATGTCTGCCTCTTGTTAGCCGATTAGTGCATCCGTGAAATTCATTTATTGATTTCCGTTAAGCGTCGCATTGAATTCAAGTGTCCGCCTCAACCCTTTGGGCTATGATATCTGGCATCCACCGCCTTGCCGGTGCAAGGACGAAATAGCTTTTTTAGGCTGTTAGCGGCCCCTTGTTTCGGTCTCTCTGTAATAGTCTGACAGAAGGCGGATTGAGTCAGGTGTCTGGTCCGTTATCCACCGGTCACCAGTCCGAGTGTGCACTGATGTGGTTGACCTTGCAAGATCTAGGGCCACATTCAACCGGTGATGACACTTGGAAGCACATCTTTGGCTCAACATTCCGGCATACTGCTGTGGTGAATGGTATTATCACTGCAACGTTTTACGGTTGGATTGACCTTTAGGCCCTATGAACTCTATGCATGCAGTACAGGTAAGTTGCAGTCAACCATTTCAACTTGGATCCGTGCATCCCTGACGACGCAGTCATTTCAGCTCGGCGCCTAAATACCCCTCAACTAATGTCTTAACTCAACCCTCTCGTCTCCAGCATCTAGGTGAAACAAATTCCCCAACTCTCAAACACTGCATGTCTCGAATTGTCAATTCGAGTTCACATTTGAATGCTTCATACACAATCTTGGTCGCATTATACATCCCCACAAAGCCACTGTGCAGTCAACTGTACTCATTTAGGACTGCTAACCGTCCAGCTTGCTCACTAGTGCTTTTACAGGAAGCCGACAACAAACTGCTAATGTTTGAGCAGCTTCTGCTTTGGTAGACTGAAACCGTGCGGCTTCTTTTCAACACATGCCTACTCTAGTCGCCCTCTACGACTTCCGCATTTGATCAGAGGTATTCATGATTGAGTGGAAACACACTGCCGTCATTCTTTTGCTTATGCACCCTTGACGATAACTCGTAGCGTGAATACACTGGTTTTACTGTGTTCCGTTAAAGTGCTTTTTAGATATTGTGTGTTGTCCACTCCCTTTTAATTTTCGTTCTCTTCAGCTACCCTCGTTATTCTCTGTTATCATACATATCTATACTAAATGCGCGTAGTCTGTTCAACATGTGTCTTCTTTCACCTCAGCGCCTTACTGGCTATCCAACTACCTGTGGGATATGCTGCTCTTTCTCATCGCTTGCGGTGCTATGTTGGCTGCCTTCGCCTTCTTCAATCTGGATGCGTTCAGTGTCAAAAGCCGTCTTAGACTGGTCGCCTTTTTGTTTCTGGCATACGCTTGGGCTGTGTTGCCTGAAATGTACCTCCTTGCACGCTTCTTCAAATCGCCTACATCTGGCTTGGTCTGGCTTACTGTTTTCAACGACTTCACTGGTACGTCCATGTTTCCTCATAGGCAACTGCGGTTTCTTACCTTTTCACGATGAAGCTTCTTTCAGCCTGTAGTCTTTTCGATTTCTCTAAGTGGCTGTTTGATGTCGCGGCAAAAGTACGGAACTGGGCTAGTCGGTTCATCTTATATATTCGTTATCTGGCGTGCGGTTCTGTGCATCAACCACAACGGTCTTTGCACTCTTCCATCTCAGTGAGTACTCTGAATGATCCAGCAGGTTATTTGCAGGCTGTTCTTCCATCTTTTATCCTATTTTACAAGTTACTCCTCTTTTCTTTTTACCGAACTCTTTTTGTCCCAGTTGTTCTTTCTTACAACACCCATACAAGGCTTGATTTCTCGTCAATAAATTGTACAGAATTTAGGATTATTAGTGAGTAGGATTCCTATTTTTGACATTTTGGAAACGGACGATCAAAGACCACATCGTCACTCTCTCTCTAGTTCGCATCTGCGATCCATTTGGATTTTCATATCCCACTTTTGCTTGTTTGCAAACACTGTGCACTGCTTTTCAACAGACCCGTAGTGGTTTGATTTCATCTACATGTTCCACGCCCCTCGTTCACCTCTGCCACATATGACCAGGATTTGTAGGACGCATTGTCCACGAACATAGCGATAATGATCTTGATCATTCCTCCACCCAGTGGACCATCGAGTAATATTTGTCACACTAGAGTAAACAGATGTTCGTCTGAACAGCTACATCGACGGATTGTCATAAGGCAATTCTTCTCCCGGTTCGCATTTTTGAGGCATAAAAGCGTTTTCTCTAAAACGAATCCTTTATCTTTGTGCACTGGTAGGCGTATTAAACCAATGATGTCATCGTTGCCACCATCTCATCAGATAGACAAATATATGAATTGCGCTCATGAGTGGGGGGTTTTGATGTATTCAATCGGGAGTTCGTCGCAGCAGAAGGATAAGAAGCGCTATATTGCAGTTAGATTGGAAATCATGACGGCCCGACACTTTCCCTCGTGGCCCAGTGGCATAAGCTGCTGACTGGCAGTGCCAGGATCTGGTGCTCAAGGCATCGATTTCTGTAGGGTCCTACAGATAAGGCCCAACAGGCTGCAACTGCAGTCCAGTGTTTTTCTGGGCGTGTTGACGGCTATCTAATTTGGAACCTGCTACGACGAAGTCCCAGTTATTTACATAAAAATACCCTATTCATGAGTACCACTAAATATTCACACTAACAGTTTCTAAATGCTATCTCGTATATAGCTGCTGTCCGTGTCTTTCGGGGTCAACACTGTCCTCTGCAACGTTTGTAGCTTGCATGGCAGTGGAGGATAAGACACGCTATATCGCATTTGGTCTGTAAATCGTGACGGTCCCACTCCTTCACCCGTGGTCCAGTGGCATAAACTGCTGACTGGCGATGCAAGCCGCTGGTAGTCATGTTTTCGTATCCTGAAAGATCCGGTGGTTGCGCACTACTGATAATTCCCAGCAGGTTAAAATTTCAGCATAGTGTTTTTTGACATGTGGACGACTATCTGATTCTAAACTGGCTACGACAAACTCTCGATTAATAAACTTCTGGATTGGCAGCTGAGTATATAGCTAGATAGAGAGAGACGTGCAAATCGATTAACACAGGAGGATAAATGATTGGACGGACGCAGTGAGGTACAGCAAAACGCAAAGGATCAGTTTGACTGAATAGCGGTAATTGTCCTTGGTTTCATTTATGTTCCATTATTATTATTATTATTCCGTATTCTATGTATCTTTACCGTTCACTTTCCCCCCTTCCGCTGTATCTGACATGCCGCTTTACCTCTTACGTTTCAGCGGTGTTGGCGCTGTTGGTCGCCGCCTTGCTGAATCACCCTTTAATCCGCCAGCAGACCCTCTCCTATTCCTTGAGTTACTGGTGCATCAGCATTTCACCAACGTTCGCTGTGTCCGATGCTATTTTCGTTTTGTTCGAGAATTATGAATTCCGGAAGATCTGTGCTAACCCCATGATCGATATCCTTTGCTATTATATTCCCACTATGCCTTGTTGTCTAAGTAAGCACTGCTTTATTTTGACTATTTGATACTCAGACATTTATTACCATCCATTGACTTGCTGGTGTCCGGCTTCCGGGATGGAGATATCACATTTTGAGTCCATTTTTTATTTTAAATGGTCCCGGCGTTTGCTCGGTCTTATATTTGCGGCAAAAGACGGAGTAGCTACCTATTTGGAACAAGTGCATAAATTACGCTTTTTGTTCCAAAGCTTGATAAGTCCACTTCCGTATGGTTTTCTCTTCATGCCCACGGACTTCAGCACGCCTAGGTCCTTTACTCAAGGTATGGACTGCATAGTTTAGCGTCCCCACCCCAAGCTCATGAGTCCCAACTTGGCTGGGTTAAATGAGAGCGGACGTCTGCAGACCGCATGTAATGGTGATCGGGGTCTTGCTGAAGAATTCTGTACTCAATGGAAGTATTCGACATTTTCCACGAATATTCTTGCTCTCAACTAAGGCAAAAGGCGAAGTTGAAGTTAATCGTTCACCTAAATGACAAGAACAATGGGCTGCTGCACTTTACTTTGTAAATCGCCATTGGTCGACGATTGCCATTTGGTTAGATAGATGTTAACTTGTACCGTTAATTGCCATCTAGCTAGAAACTGGCCGCTCAATCGGCCTCTTGTTTCCCTTTTCTAGCGTCTTACTGGAAACCATGTAAACGACCTTGACAGCTTTTCCGCCGTTTTTACCTGTGTACATTCATGCACTACCAAGAGGAGTGCTGCATACACGGCCTTTCACGAAATCCTGCTGTGTGATCCTGAGAAGGTCTTTTGCCGAGAACAACTGCACCAAGCTCTTCTTCACAATCTTCTAACCTAGGTATGTCAGACAACTCTGTCAACAACTGGGCATTTCGCTAGTTCCTTGTCGTTGGGAACCGGCTTTATCACACCCCTCGCATTTCTAGTCGCTCGATAATAAACTTTCGGGCAACCATCTGCTGATAACGAGCTTAGAATCTGCAAGTGAAACCTGTCAAGACCGACAGGCTTGGTATCGTCAGATTTGCTGTGAAGTTAATGCACTTCAACTTGGCGGTTGAACTGTTCGTTAAGCTTGGCAAACGTTTCGTCGCCAATCCAGGTGACATCATCAGTGCGTTGTTGAGTGGCGTGCAGTAGCGTAGAGGAGCCACAGTGAGAGTGCGCTGAGCGTGGTGTGCGTGCCTTTTAATACCGCCGTGGTTGCCTGTGAAGACGATCAATCCTGTTGGTTGGGACTTCGATCCGCGTTCAGCTTGGCTGATGGGCTGATGACCTTTGACCTTGGCCCCTTGTGTTTCGTGGACTTTGTCTGCTTGCTCTTGTGAGCGAGTCTGTCGTCAGTTCTAGTTGTCTAGTCACACATTTCACCGTATTCAGTCTATGGAGTTAGCGTTCGTTCGCCATTTGTTTTGCGTATACTGCGTCCAGTTCGATGTGTTGGTTGATTGAATTATTTGTACAGTACCGGGCTTCTAAAAGAGAAAAGAGACAAAGGCCACGAAACACGAGAGTAAAAGTCAAATGTCATCTGCCCACCAACCAAGCTGAACGTGAATCGAAGTTCGAACCAATAGGATTGTTGGTCTCCACGGGCAACCACAGCGGTATAAAAACGCACGCACGCCACGCTCAGCGCACTCTCACTGAGTCTGCTCTGCGCTACTGCTCGCCACTCAACTACGCACTGATGATGTCACCTGGATTGGTGACGAAACGTTTACAAGCAAATTGCGAAGCCCAGCGAACAGTTCAACCGCCATCTGAACAACCTGAGCTACCAGTCTTAAATTCTATAGCACTTCAACTTTGCAATTTAGACTGTCTGGTTCATTTGAAACGATACACTGTACTAAGTACGGACACCTGATCATTTACAAATACAACCGCGAAATGCCTCGCTAATGCGAATACACACTGATTGCTGGATATAAGCGGTTGTCAGCTCTAGATCTCCAGCTCTGATAGGTCAACTTGAGAGTATGCTTAGGTCTTTCACGGAATCAGTCTATCGCGGCTTACATCAGGGCTTGGTGTTCGGACCATGTCTGTTCCTGACCTTCATAAATGATCTCGCGAAGGTGCTCCCTCTAGATTTTCTTCTATTCATCGATGATCTAAGATACGGCGTGCTATCACAACAGTGGTGAATAGCTTCACAAAATGATATGGATAAGGCCCGCACACGGTCCATCGAGAACAAGCTGCAGTTCAACGCGGTCAAGTGCGAAGTTCTGAGCAGATGCCATCAGAGACAGCAGATGCAAGATTGACAGGGGATCATCCCTGCGCTGACTCTTGGTGGCGATCAGCTGGATTCGTCCATAAATGTAAGTATCTGCGCAGCTATATAAGCGATTTTTGGATCGAATATGAGATCACGAACCATATAGCAAAACTTTGATACGTTTTCGCTAATATCCACCACTTGTGGCGTCGGCGTCACATTAATGTCACCTTGAAAGGTGGAGTTTACAATGCAGCCGTCCGTCTAATCCTCTTGTACGGTTGTGAGACTTGGACCATCAAGTCGACAGACGTAAAGATACTTGTTGCATTCGACCATCGCTGCCTTCGCAGAGTAGCTCATGCCTGCTAGGAACACCGCTTGAGCAATGAATGTGTTCTGCGCCGCGTATTCAGCGCAGAAAGAGCGCGTGAACCGCTCAGCGCCATTATCTCACTCATCAGACTCCGATGGTCGGGCCTCATGTGGCGTATTCCAGCCCAACAACTCCGGGGCCTGAATGGAAGATCAGGGAAGGCCAAGTGATGAGTCGGTCAATTGGAATGAAGTCCCTCACTTCGAATTTTGCGTCCGTTGGTGTCTCCCGCCCGCCAGGCTGGAGACCGACGGACTATGAACAAGTTTGGCTGGATACACTAGCTGACATGGCAAAAAGCCGATCTCAGTGGCGTTTGTGTTGTGAGTTTCTTTGTCCCTCTGCTCCACTTTCGCTTCCCCACTCTAACAACCATCTCAATCCCTATGCATAATGTGATATTTAGCTTTGTGTTAGTCTGTATTTTTTGTATTGTGGCACCTTAGCCGAGGTGTGTCTCTCATCCTCGGCTAACGTGCATTAATGATGACGATGACCTCATTTACACCACCCGGCCGTTTTGCTGCGTGCTCGACGAGTCACCTAATCGCTGAGAGCTGTGTATGTGCAGCATCACCAACATGAGACGCGTCACTGCTGCTTCATCTGCTTTTTTGCTCGTTACCGGACATTGCGAATTGGACAATCGAGTACTTGATGGCCGATGCGTGTGCTTCATCTCATTTGTCTTTTATTCGCTTGGACAGCAGTAGTTTGCTTGTTGTCTTCTGACTTCAGGTCTGCTGCTCTCTCCTACTGTGAGCGAGATGCCGATAGGACGTCAACACATTCAGACTTCGTCACTTTTCGCATCCCATTATTTAGGTTTTTTATGTCTTGTGTGATATTGCTCAATTTCGTTTTCTAAATTTTCGCTTCTTCTGTCGTTAGACACCAAATGCATCTGATTACCTTCACCTGTATCCACGTAGTACTCTGTACATTGAACTTAGCTGTTTGTTTGCCTCAGGATATCTCACCATAATTTTCTACACCTTCCTCCCTAAGGGTTTTCTCTGTCCTTTGTTTGTTGGTCCCATTCGAGCTGTAGCGTACTTAATGCTATCGCTTTGGATCTTAAAGTCAGGTACCGTTTTGACGTTGTAAGACTTGGCTAGCTATTTTTGGGATTCGAAACCTCATCAGTTTTGTTAGGTTGTGTAAACTTGCGCACCACTACAGCTCTACGCTTTTTTACGCCGTCATGCAATTCCCAGGCTCTTCATTGAACAAATGTCCATAAATGTAGTTGCTCAGTGACTGATACCATCTACACCGCATCACCATCGTGCACACTATCTTCTGTGTGAATTTCTTTATTCGACACCTTACACTTGGTTTTGCTCATGTGCTCGTTAAACGCTTCACCACGGTCCTCGTCCACAGTGTATCGTCTGTTTGGCGATTTGTCACCAGGAATAACATGGTCACTTTCATGCGATTCTCCATGTCTTCCTTGCATCACAATCGCGTTTTAGTGTTTTCCTGACCCCACTTGGTCTACTTTTCTTCTGTTTGTTTTGAAGAAACCTGCGATCCATTCTGTGCTTACTGGACTTCCAATGATATCTCATTCGACAAAGGTGGTATTGGTTTCCATCTAACCGCCATGGTTGTGCAAGGTTTTATTTTTGGCTTCCTCGTTCTCTTTTTGGACAGCGTGGTGGCTCTTCGTCTGAAGTTATACGTCAGATCACGTAGGTTTTTTGAACGTATAAGTATCGCTTCTCCTTTAGACCCGCTACAGGTTGTGCCCTTCGTCTCACCTACGTGTGCTCTGATATCTGTTATATTCGTTTCCATTAATCAAATCGCCTTGTTTTGCTGTTTTAATGTTAGTTTGACAACAGTAGCTGCGTAGTGGAATTGCCACTCTCTCCGCTCAGTCATTTATGGTCTGCTCTGTTGTGTGTTTTTTTTTGAATTCGTTCCCCACGGTTCGCGTCAATATTAGAGGGTCACTCAAAACGGACTGTGAATTCCACAATTATGAATACAAGGGATTCTACTTATACTATATCAGTAGCTCAATGCGGTTTCTTGAAGAATGGCTGGTTTATGTTTGATTTAAATCCACACTCATTTTCTTTGACGTATTGACAGAATTTCATTGTTAGTTGAAAGATGTTTGTGAGTAAGGTAAGGTTGGTGGAAAGTAGAAGTCACGATTAAACTCCACACTTCTACTTTCCGCCAACCTTACTCACAAACATCCTACAACTAATCTTCCATCGCCCTTTGGACTACAGAGGGACAGTTACGTCGGTCTACTGGGAAGTGACGAGTGAGTGAATCGATCCGTAACACCTGTACAGTTACTGTGAGCTCATTGGCAATACGTCGCGCATCAAGCAGAAGTCATGTATTAAATTCCGCACCTAATCGTCAGCCCTCGGTAGCTCAGTGGTAGAGCAGCGGACCGGAAATTCGTGGACGGGGTTCGATTCCCCGTCGAGGCAGATTTTGGTGTGGAGTTTAATCGTGACTTCTACTTTCTACCAAAATTTCATTGTTCTCTTGTCTGTCAATGTTTCTGTTGTCTTGATGCTACCGACTTAAAATTTTGGTGTTTTCAAGCATTTGTTCTCCTGCGTCTCCCATTTCATTCTGATACAGCCGCTTGTAAGTGCTCTTACTCGGCTCTACTGATATAATCTCTTCGTGGATCTACTATAATTTTTTTTATAAATATAGTAACAGTACCACAGCTGTATCAGTACAGATTGTTGTTGTTGTTATTGTTGTTGTTTCCAGGAGCATCTGCTATCGCTCCGAACTTTGCATCTAAGACAGCTCGTTCAATGAGAAGGAGAAAAGCTCGACGGTCGAGCATTTCATATCTAAATCTCCCAGACAAATGAAACAAAACGGGTTAACCGATTGGCTGACATACGAAAGAATTCCTCCCGCCTGCACCATTATCCACATATTGTCTGGATACATTAAAAGTGACCCCTTTACAACTCAGACTGGCTATGAGTGACTCCCCGTATCATACGTTTCCAAGTAATTGGCCGGACTATTGGAACCAACAAGAAGGAAACTAGCAACTCATAGCCTGCGTGACACTTTGGATTTCGTCGACAGCATTGGGACTCAAAATGTGGATAACATGCAGCTATTTTCGATTGATGTGACGTCGTTGTTTACCATTATCCCTGACAAAGTAACTATGGATTATTTCGCCGAATACATCGAGCACATAGGTAAATAAATTGGCTTACAGGCGAAAGAACTGAGGACGCTGTTTCATCAGTGTGCCCACTATGTTCAGTTTCGCTTTTTGGCGCACAGTTACACCGACAAACAGTCGGGGCAGCTATGGGGTTACCATTGGGTCCCTTGTTCGTTGTTGTGTTTGACTGAACTAGAAAGCCCCGTTGAGTGAAATGGCAGAGCGGCTGCCACTCTATAAATGCTATGTTGATGAAATGATACGTATAGTTTGCAGCTCCGTATGTCAAGTTGATATATTACAGAAATTCAATCGGGCCTTTATAAACATTCAGTTTTGCATGCAACCTGTGTCCATTGAAGATCTGGCTTTCCTGCATGTTCAGATGTCACATCGACCGGACGATTCACTGTAGCATAGAATAAATATACCTAGTTTGATGGCTTTGTGCCAATGAAACAGCGAGAGAACTTATTCCGGCATCTTGTCGGAAGAGCGATGACAGTATGCCCTGAAGACATGATTGAAACAGACCGCGCCGTAATAAGAAACCAGTTACTCATTGGAGAATCATTTGAATGGATTGCGACGCGCCGACGGATGCACCCCGAAGATTGCCGCACCATCATGACATCGAGGAGAGCCATTCTTAGCGTCTTCTCGTCAAAGGAAGAAGACGCCGGGTTAATGCGGTTAGCTGACGAGCTGCATTCGTGAAGAGAACGCTGAAGAATCTGTTGTTTTGCTTCACCAGCCTTTTCCAACGAGAACGCCAGCGGCAGTTAGGAGAGGATTGCAGCACCTCAAGTGGACCAAACCACCACAGTCAAAAACGTAGACGTCCTGTGGGTTTCAGGCAGAAGAGCAGGAACCTCGCCATCAACGACGGAAGCCACTTCAGCATCGCGCACTCTCTTGGCAGGCCACTCGCCGGACTACAATTAAACACCCTCCTCAATATCTTCCGATGTTCCTATTGTAATAAGACACAGTGCCTTGCGAGTAGAAACCCATACACCCGCAATCCCCTCCCAACCATCACCCCAGCCGCAGATTGGGGCCCATGAACGGTCTGTGGCGCAGGTCTCGGCCTGTTTCCCTACACCCCTGTTCTGAATTGTCAGGACAGCAGGCCTACTGGCTCTTACACAACAATCTCGAACGGCTTGGCCTCTGCCGAAGTCTATCCCATCTATTGGAATCGCTCACCTACCACACCTCACACATCATTTCATTCATCTCACAATTCCGTTGTCCCGTTAGATACCCCGAACATATCATCACAGCAGCCAAACACCCCCGGCAGCTACACACACAGCAACACCAACGGCTGCACCGCCTCAACAGCCGTTCACATCGTTTGAGTTACAGCAAGAGAACAATTTACCAGACTTAACGACCGACGCCATACTCCTGCATTACTGCGACTTATGCGGCGCTCTTTTTCCACAAGCGTGGGCTTACGTCAACACCTAGCTTACCACCGCAGCAACGTACCGGGATTTTTGGCTGATACTGTCGTTCTCAACTGCAGCAACATGCAGCAAAACGTTCAAAAGCAAGTGTGGTTTGTCTCAGCGCCGCCGTCAAGTTCATCCGGATGCCTATAACGCAGTCGGTCTGGCACGACTATTCAACCACCAGTGCAACTGGTCTGCGCTGGAGGACGAGACACTTATTGCTTGCGCCACGGATATGGCACTCTCCTCCCCCAATCTTCCACAGCTGCTCAGGCAAATCCGCATCCGATTTCCTTGCCGATCAAAGGACTGCATTAAGAAACGTATGCATGATCTCAGTTGGAACATAATGGGAGCAAGGGAACACTTCTATAACTGCTCAGTTATTTCCATTACGCACACCGCCTCACCATCCCTCCTCACTCAGTCGCCAAGTTCCCCTTACTACCCTCTTCGTTTAGAGGTCCACCCACCACACCATTTGAATCCCACAGACCTGTCTGTCTTCACCCCTCTTGTGGCGCGGTTCCTATCTGAGTGACCATTAAGACGACTCTACAGTCACTCTGAATATCAGCACACACAACATACGTCACCTTGACGTGGGCTGGCGACAGCCCGCCGCTCTATCGCCCAGTCTACTATTATCCCGCCTCACCATACGAAATCACCCCAGGGGTCGATTTGGATGAATCATACACCGACAACCACTCGAAGCTCGCTACAGATACCTGGCACTCAGTTACAGAAGCCACAGGTGACAAGGCTGCCTTTCAACATCTTATGTCGAAAGCCAAAGGAAAACTGGCCCTATATATATATATATATATATATATATATATATATATATATATATATTTACTTATTTATTTATTTGACGCGGCTAATAGTACAATTGGCATAGCGCCACAACGTATGGAAAATACAATAAACATACGAAGGTAGAGAAAAACACCGGTGTTCATGGGAATAGTGAGTCATAAGTCCGCTATTGTGCACGATTTCTTGCCATTTCCGAGAGTGTTTCCAGCGACGTGTGTTCCCGATCCTTCACACTCCACCCAGGGAGCCGAGAACACGCGACCACGGCTAGTTTTGACTTTAGCTCCTTCATTCTCCTGTCCCAAATTATACGTTGGCCACCTAGCTTTCGCTTTCAGTCGACTTCTGCGTGCGCGAAGTGGGCTTGGCGACACAAGCGATGAGTAGGCATTCGAAGAACATGCTGAAGCCACTGAAGTCTGCGCAGAGAAATTATACTGCTCAGTTTCCGACAAAGTCTGTCTAATCTGAAAATCCTTCTTTCAATATCTTCATTACTAGTGTTATGTGTCTATCGTACACCAGCAATGCTCTGAAGGCAGCGGTAGTAGCATTAGTAGTATAGGCAGCAGTCTATCGAATCGACATAGAGCCAAACATAACCATGTCACATAAACTGAAGGTGAGCAACACACTTCAGCTATTGTGCCGCAATATAAAAACGACAGAGCCTTTTTTGTTACTCTGCACGAGCCATTTTTTCTCGTTGTAATCGTTAAGCATTCATTATCCAAATCTAAGCAGTTATACACACAGATACTCTACTGGTTTCGATTAAGAGCCTTGTCATGAATTGTTTCCAGCCATCTGCACTCCTCGTCCTTTAGTCCCCAATCAGGCAGACGTGTGGATCCACTGGCAGAAAGAGGTGAAGTTAACAATTTCATTTGCTGTCGCCACGTGGATTGCTGGACCACCACGTGGTCTCTTCCATTTGAGTCTTGCACGAGCAAACAGTGCGCGATAGGACAAACGCTCAGTGGACATACGAAGGACATGACCGAGCCACCTTAACTGGCGCAGCAAAACCAGCTTGCTGAAGGGAACACTTGCATTCCATAAGACACGACGTCTGACTTCACTGTTTCAAATGTGTTGTTGCCACCACACACGAGCAATTCTCCTCAAGCACCCGTTGTCGAAGGCTGAGAGTAGGCACATATCGTCTGCTCGAACTCATCATCATCAGTACACGTTAGCTGAGGGTAAGAAACACATCCCAGTTGATGTGCCGCAATAC